ATAATCAAACACTTTTTAAACTATCTCAATATATAAAATAGGATAAACAGGATATAAAGAAATATAAAAACATATCTATCTTGTTTATTGTTTGTTACTTTGGTTGTTGTGATATGAGGTGACTCCATCCCCGCTCTCTGCCTTTCCTCACAACTTCCTCTCTCCTCTTCCTCCTTTCTCTTCTCTTTGTAACCTTGTCTCTCTCTCTCTCACTCACATACTCTCTCTCACACATTCTCTTTCTCACTATTGTGCTTTTTAAAGTCTCTACTTCTTTTTTTCCCCCTTTGCTTGGGGGTTCCTCTCCTCAACCTTGTCTTCCCCTCAAAGTACAACCCCATCATCCTTCCAGCCTCATGTTCTCCCCGTATTCGGAAGAATTCGAGGTCCCCGAATCAACGCTTCGACCATGCGATTTTGACCTGTGAGCATTCCCTTTACAGATAAGAGTTAAAAAAACACTCCGGTCGGAGTCTGGACTTCCCTGTGTCGCGATCTATACCTTCCTATTGTTCCTGTTACCTTTGGTCAATCTGGTTCTGCCTGGGATGCGCCTGTGTCATCGTCTTTAGTGTAACGCTTCCCGAGAGTTGACCAAGGCGCGCCAGTACCAGATCCTGCTAACCCCTCTACACGGCCTTTTTGTATGTACAGATGAATCGGCACAGTGTGATTGAAAACCGCGTGTGTCTTTCACCATGTCGTAAGTTCCTTCGTCTATGATCTCCGTCCGGCCTCCAGCTGTGGGAGGGAGACTGGGTTGGAATTCAACTGCACTGGGTCGCGTTCTTATTACATTGCTTCATCTCATCTTATGTTTCTTCTATTCTCTGACTATCTGCCCGATTAGTTCCCCCCGACATCTAAGCGCCTCAAGACGTCGGCAACTACCAGCGCACCCCCGCATATGCTTGCCCAACAACAGATCCATCCATTTCATCGCGTCCCAACCTTCGAAGGCATCCCAATTCCGACTGCTCCTATACCCCAACAAAACCCCGGTGCATCGCGCAAACGTCCTCCTTCTCCGACAGGATCGTCAGCCATGATGGCAACCCCAGGGAATCCTGCGGGTGGGATTGATGACCCCGGCGCCATTCCTACGGTCGAGTCTACGCCCAAGAAAAAGGGACGCACGAATACCCCATGGACCGCAGAGGAGGAGCAACGACTTAAAACAATGCGCGACGCCGGGCGTAGTTGGAGTGAAATCGCCAAGGTGCGCGCGCGGGGCTTTTTTTTTTTTTTTAATTGGCTCAAACTATGGGTTGCTGACCTGGGCTTTTTTTTTTCTAACCTGTCGCAGACTTTCCCAACCCGAACCGAGGGCAGTGTCAAGAAGCATTGGTACAAGGTACGCAATATCAGACGAATTTGGTAATACCACGTCTCGTCTTACTGACACCTTACGCAGGACATGCACTACGCGGAATTTGCCGAAGATGAGGTATGATCCCGATTTTTTTTTCTTTTAATGTCCGTTGTCGCATCCGCCTCTGATGTCGCACACAGTCTGTGAAGCTCCGTGAGGCGATCAAGGAGTACGAGGCGAATAAGTGGAAGGTGATTGGTCAGAAAGTGGGAAAGCCTGCCAAAGTGAGTATCAGAATTTCCTATTTCCTCCCTGTCGTGGTGCATCTCATCTAATCTTGATACTTTTTTTTTGATAGGCCTGCGAACAGTATGCCAAGGAGCATTTCAAGAACGTCTGACCACGACGCCTCTGACGAAGTGACGATATCGATATCTTTTTCTTAGCATCTTTTTTATGAATTTGGCATTCTCTCCTCCGGATTTCCTGCAATTCCAGAGCGATGCCAGTTTCATCGGTGGCCGCTGGAGGTCACTGATTTTACCAGGCAGATGGAGTTGGTGTGATCTGGATCTCTTTTTATTTCAATCTTATTCTTGAATTTCCTTGATATGCGCCATGAACACCTGCGCATCTTGTTTTTTTTTTTTTTGCGATCATGTTTTTTTTCCCTCCAAGGCGTTGTGTTGTCTGTTTTCATATGATAAGCGCTGTTTTTCTTTTGGCGCTTTTTGTGTCCATCAATACCATATGATTCCCACTGGTTCCAGTATGAGGAAATTGCATAAGCAAAAATCAGAAACCGATTGTGTTAGTAGTATATACTACATATCTATAACTAGTTAATTGACTAGTATACCTACATAGTACTATATAGTTACGATGTAGTAAGGTGGAGGCGGAAAAGCCAAATGGGACGATCTTATTTTTTTTCCCCGCGGCAATCAAATCTTCCCCCATTTTTTCCCCCACGGGCAATTGATCACTTTTCACTTTGGTTACTTGCTATTACTTGTCAGCATCATTCTGGACTTTTGAAAAAGAAAAAAAAAAAAAAAGAACAACTGATTTCAAAGGTAACCTAAACCCTGTGTGATTGCCTGATCAAGTCCGCTGGCGCTACAGTGTATTCATAGTGACTTTTCTCAGAAGGTAACACAACCCTGTGACAAGGGACGGCTACCATGAAGACGAGTAGTCTGGTATTCTCTCACGATCAAGGTATCTAGGACAAACCTCCTGCATGAAGACCGGTGTTCGACTATTGTCGTTCTGAGAATATACGGTTAAACTTGATCTGGGTAATTCCAGCGAAAGGACTCAATGCGCTTTTTCTCTCCGGAAAATAGGTATGATACTGACACAATCGCAGCATGGCTTCGGAAAATGAAATCACCGCCCTAGCGGTGAACTCCAACAAGGAAGACCTGACGAGATTCGCACCTGAAACCCCCGGCGTGGCCAACAAGGATGAGGGACTCTACGCCGAGACCACGACCAATCGCCACAATCCCATCGGATCACGATTGAGTTCCGTCATTAGACATTTTGAGAACCAGCTCATCGAGTATAACCTGGAAGCGCGTGGTATCGAACGAGTCGCTGCGGATGAGCGCATGAAGCGCCACACCTGGATGTCGTATCTGCAAGTCTTCTTGCTTTGGATCTCCATCAACCTTGCACCCAATAACATTACCCTCGGGATGTTAGGGCCTGCCGTGTATGGTCTCAGCTTCCGGGACTCGGCACTTTGTGCTGTCTTTGGTGCCTTGGTTGGTTCCATCGTCTCCTCTTGGATGGCTACGTGGGGACCTGTTTCCGGGATCCGGACATTGGTGCGTACCACGTATTGAATATGCTGGATGTTGGACTATTATCTGATTGGGAGGGGGCTAATTGTTGACAGGCTTTTGGAAGGTATTCGATGGGTTGGTGGCCTAGCAAGATCATTGTTCTTTTGAACCTTATCCAGATGATTGGATATGGTTTGATCGATTGCGTCGTTGGCGGACAAATCTTGTCTGCTGTCTCCCCTGGTGGCATGTCCGTAGCTGTCGGTAGGTGATTCTTAAGCCTCATACATTAATAGTGGTGCTAACCTTGATATTATAGGCATCGTTATCATCGCGGTTATCAGCTGGGCTGTGGCAACATTCGGCATCCAAGTCTTCCACTACTATGAACGGTTAGTTTGAGAGAGATTATTGCCACGAGGGACAGTATCACTGACAGGCCTCATATTAGATTCGCCTTTTTGCCCCAAGTAATTGTGGTCTCCATCCTTTTCGGAGTGTCATCCGTGAAATTTGACTTGTCAACCACCTCTGTCGGTGATCTCCGGACAGTAGCTGGCAATAGGTGAGTCTACATCTTAGATGTAAGAATTGAAGTCCAGCTTTTCTAACATTGTTCTAGGTTATCCTTCTTCTCCATCTGTCTGAGCGCCGCAGTTACCTACGCCCCACTAGCGGCCGACTTCTTCGTCTACTACCCCGAAAACACCTCTCGGGTGAAACTCTTCAGCCTAAGCCTGTCAGGCCTCCTCGTCTCCTTCACAATGGCCCTAGTCTGCGGTGTCGGGCTAGCCTCGGGCATCTCCACACACCCAGAGTACTCCGCCGCCTACGAGCAAGGCCAAGGAGCACTAATCGTCGAAGGATTCGGCCCGCTCCACGGCTTCGGCAAATTCTGCTCCGTGATATGTGCCCTAGGCCTGATCGCCAATACCGTCGCACCCACTTACTCCGCCGGCATCGACTTCCAGATCCTCGGCCGCTACGCCGAGGCAGTACCACGCGTGATCTGGAATACCGTTGCTGTCATTATCTATACCGTCTGCGCGCTCGTTGGCCGCAGTAACCTCTCTGAGATCTTCACCAATTTCCTCGCGTTGATGGGCTACTGGGTTGTCATCTGGATTGCCATTGTCCTCGAGGAGCGATTCATCTTCCGTCTCCGCACCGGGTACAACTGGGGTATCTGGCGGGATCCGTCCAAGCTTCCCATTGGCATCGCGGCGTTCACTGCCTTTGTTGTTGGCTGGGTGGGCGCTGTATTGTGTATGGCGCAGGTGTGGTACATCGGACCCATTGCCAAGTTGGTCGGTGAATATGGTGCTGATGTAAGTTTGAATCCTGCTTTCCATCGAACTATGTGTCTTGGATTCTAACTAATTATCGCTAGATGGGTATTTATGTCGGGTTCTGTTGGACTGCGCTTGTTTACCCTCCTCTCAGATTCGTCGAACTTCGTTTCGTGGGTCGGTAGGCATTGGCTGATGTCCAAGCATATGAACATGGCTTTGCACGTCTCATTGCATATTTATCCCCGAGTGTTGATACACATATACATTAGATCGAAAGTGATGTATGTACGTACATATGTATAGACTTGAAAATAGAGGTTTTTTTTCTTCCCACCTGATAGCAGACAGCAGTACTCCTAACTCCAGTATTTAAGAAATTTGGAGCATCAGCGGTATCTCATCTCAGGGCAACTACAACCCCAAACAGACAATCATAGATCAAAAGTAACAACCCCACCTACACTCTCATTTCATCTACTAGAGCACTATAGTACAAAAGAGACGGAGGAGTCACCGAGACAGAACAGAGACAGACGCGCAGCATAATGTTGACACTGTATTGGGATTTCCAAGCAATAACCAAAGAAGATCGCCATTAAAGATTTACCGGTACCAGTAGTCGGGCTTGACGTAGTCGGCGAAGGTCTTGGGCTCGACGTGAGGGGGGTGGTGGTGACCGTGGTCGTGGTCGTCTGAGAGCGAGAATGTTAGCATAACCAACAGATTATCATATACTAAGGCAAAAGATAAAAAGAGATCGGGAAACATACGGGCGTGGGGGTCCTCCTCGGGTCCGATGTAGTTCAGCTTGACCACGTTGCCGCACTCGAGGCAGCGCTCGAGAGGGCGCTCGCGGGAGACCTAAAAGGCGTAGAGTCAGTCTCTAGAACCGGAGATCTTAGCCCGGTTGGGCTTGGATGGGGCGGTCATACGGTCAGCCAGTTGACCTGGTGGGAGTCTGCGGGGAAACCGGTGCAACCGGCGTACTGTTCATCACCAGCGCCGTTGACGATGATGGGGTCTTCGATAGAGCCTGCGTAAATCCACCCATTTGGTCAGCCAATTTTTCGGTCTTCGCCCCGGAGCAACAATCATGTGATTCCGCCGTATGTGGTCATTCAGGAGTTGCGATGAGAGGTTGAGGGGAGATATCAAGGAGTCATACCCTTGCGGGAGGCATCAAGGGGACGCATGTCGAAGATGTCAATGCCCTGCATCTTTCCCATAAGCTCCAGACGCTCGAGACCGGTGGCCTGGTCGATATCGGTGGGAATGGTACCGGGCTTGGCACCCGGAGCAAAGAGGTCATCCTCGCCCTTGATCTCTATATATTGACAAGAGAATAGGTCAGCATTGTGTTTCGGAGATATTTCTTGTACATATCATATCCACTTGAGGTAGAATGACGAGCCCGGCCCGTGGCTCGGGAAAAGTATCCGCATGACCACTACCCGAGGTTCTATAGCGTCGAATTGCACGGAGATGCTCGAGCGGGGGAATGTATGGATATTTCTCGAGCCACAGAGGCTGGGAGAAAAGCAATTGACTGCTATGGGGTAGGGTAAAGCACTAACCGTCGAAGGTCAGGATCTTGCCCTCCTCCTTGGGAGTCCACTTCTTCTCATTGGCTAAAAAGGTTTCGCGTTAGACGGTGATCACAATAGATAGTTCATATCAATTGACTGTTAAAAAAAAAAAACAACCACCCATTGTGTTGTGGTCGGGGCGCGCAGGGATTGAACAGTTGTGCGAAGGTCGGATCATGCCATTTGAGGAGTCACGTACAGCGAATGATGGAGGAAGAGAAGGGGCGCTGGGCGAGGGTGAAAGCGCGAGCAGGCGAGCGCCTTGCGAGGGCGGAGGCTGTACGTTGGAGGAACATTGTCCTGGAGGTGACGGGGTGGATGACGCGGGGCGTTTGGGGCAGGAGAGGGAGTTTGGAGGTTTGAGGTTGGGCGAGTTTGAAGCCGCTTTGGTCCGACGTTCTGTGATTGGCTGGCTCGGTTATCCAATAGGACCACGAATAATGATGAGTCAGCCCCTCTGATTGGCAGAACATCGGAAGCTCTGGACGGGCGGCATCAGCTACGAGCGGCAGAATGTCCGTTTCGGAACACCTAGGGCTTCTCTGTGTAGGGCACGGGGGTGACATGATATATTAACAAAGAATAACTCAAGGAGACACGCGCTAAAGTCACAATATAATAAACAAGTCCCTCTAAACTACAGAAAGAGACACCAATATCATTCAAGCTCTTCTTCGGCTCTCAGCTTACACGCCGCTGGTGGTATACCAGGCCCAAGCTTCCGGGAAATGTGTGCCCATTTGTTGTCCTCATACTCCTCCAGCGCTTTTTTTAGTTTCTGATCCTGGTATAGGAAGTCAGCATAACCCTAGTTTTTTAATTTATGCGGGGATGACCATACCAAAGCATCATCCCAAACCACATCTCTTTCCTTCAATTTGGTACAGTAACGGACTTGCAATGTCTGTTGTTTTCGCCCTGGGAAGAAGCATTCGATCTGCCGCCAGGAAAACTTCCAGTGCTCCTTCAAGGCTATCAACAGCTCATCTTCCCTGCGACCGAATCTAGTCTTTGGTACTTTTGGCTCAGGGTATGGTGTAGGCACGCCTGGAAGGTCCATGAAGCTACGGTCGATTTGCGGTAGGTATGATTCGGAGCCCTGATCGGCAGAGCCCGTACCGACCAGTGATTGGGATGGTAGCCGATGATGGTGCTGTTGCGGGAGAGCAACCTGGAGGTAGTCCTGGTCTGATGTCTGATGGGGAGATGAAGGGCCGACGTGATCGGCGTACGTCAGATCGGTCGATCCGCCTGCTGAAACCGATGGATCACCCATGGGTAGATTTTGCAAGATAGATCGGTAGCCATAATTGTGATCAGTGTCTTCATCTGGCCCAGGCCCATTGTCGGTACGTTGTCGTTTTCTGCTACCCTGTATTGGAGAGAGTCTATAACCGTGCGTGCTGTAATGTGAGCCCGGCTGGCGTGGCGGCGAGTGGTTCGTGATAAAAGTCGATGGAGACCCAAAAGGTGGCTGAGTTGTATCAGAGTGGTAGCGAATTTCAGGCCTATCTTGGAGCAACTGCGTTGCGCCGTAGGAAATAATATCTTCCCGATTCGCATCCTTACCACTGTCATGAGGAGTGTAGTTAACCATGAAGCCTCGGTAAGGGTCCGCTGGTGTTGTAGACATATATATAAACAACACCAGGGCCTGCAGCCCCAGCAAGTGACTTGAGTGGCTGTTGGGAGATGAACGATTTCAGGGTGTTGTTATTTCCCAAGTGTCTCTCTCGAGTCGAAAGGCAAACCCCAAACAAAAATAGCCTTTGCTATCACATAGGAGGACAATGCGAAGAGAAACTTGCCTACATATGTAATTGCAATACAAAAAAGAAAGTGCTCGAGGCGTTGACGTGCAGAAGAGGATAGATAGGGTTACTTTGGGTCAAATTGTAGGCAGGTCTTGCAGAAGAATCGGTCATACATAATGTATAATAGGGTGGAATAACAAAGATATTTATGCCTAGACTATGAACGATCAAAAGAAACCAGGAGATGGACATATCTATAACAACATCTGGAGAGTCCCCCTGAGAGAAATCCAATCCTGTGCCGGTGACCAAGTTGGAGCGTGCGTTGCCGGGCTGATTTCACCAGTCTCCAGTGGACCGGACTGCAAGAGCATTCTGAATCATCAAGTATTTCGCGATAGGCATGTTGTATCCCATCTTTCCGGCCTCCATATGTGCCTTTCTCCCTTTGCTTTCGCACAGACTCCCAACATGAATGGGAGGGGTTCAAAAAAAAAAAAAAAAAACCTTCGAAGCGGTAGAACCTCCCCCATTTTTTTTTTTTTTTTTTTTTTTTTGGCTGAGCGGTTATTAATGGGGGAGGGGGAAAACACCAAATGGGACCAGGGTAAGTCCAGGGTCAAAAGTGAAGAGCCATGACAAAAGAAAAGGACACGCCAGACAGGTGAAGCCTGTCAGACTTCGGGGACATAGCAAATCAAAGAGCTCATTAGTCGGACCGATCTTCCATGCAACAGCGCCATATTGCTGGGAAATAGATGTGGACATTTCGTATCGGCTGATTGAGACGGTATAGGCTAGTCGAGTAAGCGATGGCAAGCTATTCTATTGCACCGGGTTTCTTCGGAGCCAATGCCTGCGGGAGTCTATCACATATGTCCAATAGAATAGAACAAGAGAACAGGGGGGTTTGAAACATATACCCGAAAAGAAGATTGGCGTTTGGACTTGACAGAGTTCAAGGTGGTTAGAAGAAAGACATTATAATGATGGCAATAGATCATTGGAGGAGATGAGGGTCACATCAACTTTTTTCCAGCCACACTCCTCTCTCACCCTTTTCGTATACCCTGTTGGATTTGGATTTGTTGGATTTATCGAATGGAAGATCAGGAGATGTGATTCGGAAAGACTGCCGAAAGGTGCTAGCTGCATGCGGGCCGTCATCAATAGAAAAAGGTCTGATACATTAAAGCGGAGAGCTTAGGCATACCTCGATTTCAATAGATGCATAGATATATAGATATTTTATATATATATATATATATATATACACATACATATATATATACATATTTCTTTTCCATTTCCATGTCCTTCGGACCTTCGGCCGATTTCTATAGTTCTGTTGGGCGCCTGCTTAGGGCCTGCTTAGGCACATACATCGCGGCAATCTTTATAGGCCGATGCAAACTAGTGCATTCCGAAGCCAACCGCATTCTCGTATACTTACAGGGGGATTTGATCAACTTATTAAAGAAATAAAAGGAAAAGGAAATTGATGTGAACAGGGAATGTATTCGCAAAAGGAATCTCGTACTGTACAAATCTACACTGACATTTTTCCCTAGGTTCTCGCTGCAATACATGAATTATGGTTGTCGTGATACAAGAACCCAAAAGAAAAAGGGGGAAAAAAAAGAAAACAAGAGTACAAAAAAAAGACAACGCTTGGAAAATCAAAAGAAGATTTTGGGCCTGATCAGCTGCACATTTTTAAGCAAAGTTGTCAGACCGGTCAACCCAGATGTCCTCGAGTTCAGCGAAGTTTTGGAAGTGCAGGGGACGGTGTTGGTCATCGTAGAACTTAAGCGGAGTGTCGATCTTCACGTAGATAGGTCTCTTCTCCACGCTGCCAAATGAGCTGCCCATAAAGCTGTAGTTCCAAACATTATCCTCCGGCACAAGGAAATAGCCGCGGATTTTGTCACTGAGGAGCAGCTGACACTTCTCACCCATGCTGGTGGAGAAGCCTTGGGGCTGATCCGAGGTGGTGTCCTTGTTCTCTGCGCCCCACTTGTAGCCCGCCGGAGTGAGGCCCCAGGCGGAAAGCGAAACGGATCCAGGAGTGAAAGAGACAGTCATGGTCACGGTCTTCTTATCCCACGAAGGATGGGCGTTCATGAGACGTGCGTGATGTGTGACATCTGTTGCAGACATGTACGGCGGCTCATTGCCAGAAACCGTATGGATGATACCAAGTGGCTCCAAATTTTGGAGATAGTCGTGCTGCGGCAATTGGTGTGGCAGCTGAACGTCCCGAGTGTTACCCACTTGGGGAATCATGACAATGGTGCGGACCTCCTTGACCTGGTCGTTGTCTGAGGGGGAGCTTCCGTAGATGTAACCCGTGACCTGCACTCGGAGATCGGCGATGGTGATGAATCGCTTGAGGACGTTCTTGGGCATGATGTAGGTGTATCCATCGTCCCGAATGTCGTCAGAGGAAACATAGATGTTGTTGGACCTGGTCCGGAGGTTGGAGGTCGCGATTGCACGAGTACGCCACTCTGTCTTAGATGCAAATGATTGCTGTTCGTACTGAGACGTAGTGGTGACGATGATGTCCTCGCCACGAGCGTTCTGAGTCTTGGTCGTCACAGCAGTGAGCTGCTTCTGCTCTTCTTGCTGCTTCTCGATCTCCGCCGCTTGCTGTCGCTGCAGGGAAGGCGCACTAATCTCCATACCCAGGATGATATCACGGACTTCGCTACTGGTCAAGCTCTGCACGTTGACATTGTTCTTCTTACCGTAGTCGTTCAAGATCAGATCACGCAATTGCACTTCGACCTTAATCCAGTCCTCATCAGACAGGGATGGCCAGATGTGGTGTTCTTGAGTGATAACAGTCTTATCGGGGCGAAGAATGATCTTGGCTTTGTCGATGTTGACGTGAAGAGCCCGGAGAATGAGAATGAGGCGAGAAAAGGCAGTGTACGGGGAGATGGACTTGAGCCACTCATCATACAAGTTGAAAAGTACCATCTGAGGTTCGGTCGCACGGAGAATCATATCGGCCAGTTTCTCGACCTTCATGGCGGCCTGGAATGGCAGCTGGAGCTCAGAGGCACGAATGGAGATGTTAGGGAAATCGAGCAGGTGGACCTCGAGAGGATCAAGAAGACCCTTACGGGTGACAATGAGCTGCTTCGGTTGCTCTTCCACGGGGAGAGACCGAATGAGCGCTGCAACTTCTTCGGCTGTCTTCCACTTGGCCAACTGACCCAGACGCTTTTGGCCTGCCCAGACACTGGTGTGGATGATCTTCAGGAACAACTGCCCAGTGCGAGGATTGAAGATGAAGATTGCACCGTTAATGGGTTTTGTGGTCAAGTTACCCTCGAAGGTCTTGTGGATCGTGACACGGTACACGTTAGTGTCATCGATAAAGAGCTGAATCTGCGGGCTGAAGAGCTCGGAGTAGTTTTGAGAGTTGAGGAACTCCTGGCTGCTCTCCGAGGCATACAGCTGGAGACCCTTGCGGATACGCTCACGCAAGACATACAACGCTGGATTGGCTTTCATGATCTTAGCCATAGCCTGCTGAACCAGAGTCTTGAGGCCTGGGAAGTACTGTCCGTAAGCCGAGAAGAGGTTGTATGCAAGATCAATGCCAATCATCAATCCAGTGGCGGAAGGATAGATACTCATGCTGTCCGTGGTGTAGTCGAGGTACTTAGCACGAACGTACCGCTCAATATCGTGAGAATCGTAGTCGCCATATCTCAGCTGCACGTCGATCCAGAACTTGTTTGTCGTAGTCGGCTCGTACACGTCCTTAGTATCGAATACAAGCGAAGGTCGGGTGACATTCCATTTGTTCGTCGCAAAGAGCAGGATATCCGCACAAGAGCTGTTCATCTTGTAAGATTTACGTGGATGGATAGTCTCCTTTTGAACGGCCTCGATGCCAAGCTGCTCCAATTCCTGATCCAGGACTTGACACAAATCCATAACCACGGATTCGTGAATCTTCTGCCACAAATGGGCACGGAAAATCTGAATCAATGAAATTTTGAGCGTGGGAATCTTGCCGTGCAAGAAGATACCAGTCAGATCAAGTTGCACCTGGAAACCAACGTATACGTTGGCGCGGTTGATGGTCGGCGACCACCAGAGAGTGAATCGACGGTTGGGAATCTGGTTCAAACCGGACCGCTGAGCGTTGGTGAGTTTCTTGAACTTCATACTTTCTTCGAAACCACTGTTGTGCAGGACCAGGTGGTCATAGCGCAGGTAAAGCTGATCTTTGTCGACTCGGAAACCAGCCCATTCTGTCTTGTCAGATTCGAGGCTAATGCTCTCGATCTTGAAACTGTGCATCTGAGCAGCTGGGCTTTCGGCGCCCTTTTCAACCGCAGGAGATGTGAAGGCACTATACAGGCTTCTTTCCTCGGTGGAAAGGGCAGCGAAGTCGGCAGCAGTGATCTCCACTGTTTGCCTTTCCGCGTTGTGGGGACCCTCGGAGGCCTCCTGTCGATAAAGCACCAGAATGTGATTCGGCGTCACCACAAGATCTTCTTTCTCGCCACCAATCTTGACGCGGTACAGGCGGTCGACGCCATTCACTATGTTGAATGCACGGCGAGGCTCTCCGTCGGGACCCAAAAGCTGGTCACCTTCGCGCACATCCTCGACATTGATCTCGGTACCATCGTATCGCAAGAGACGGGTTCCCTTAGCAAGACACGCTTTTTCCCAGAACAAACCTTCCCACGATGGGAAAGCTGTTGCCTTGAACAAGGTGTGCTCGAGAATTGTTTCAACACCACCCAAGGCTTGGATAACATCAGTGCGGTAAGCATTGAGGTTCCAGAGTTTACCATCGTGACGCTGGCTAGTCCACCAGAACGGATTGCTCTTCATCAGCTGGTATTGC